AAGAGATTTATAATGTCACAAAGAGAAATGACTGCATAACTGTTCATATTTCTTGCCATTTCAGGAATAAATTACATTTTAAAATAGATTAAAATAATAAAAAAAAGGTTATGTTAAATTGTAAAAAAAATATTTAACAGTACTACTCTTGTTGCTCTTTTTTTGTCACACAAATGCAGCCTTGGTGAGCATAAGACTTCTTTCAAAAATATAAAAAAATCTCAACAACTGACAATTTGCCATCATGAGTTTATCTAGGATGGATTTCTACGATAATTCTTTCCTCCTTTTTCCATCCTTTTCCCCAGCACTCTATTGGCCAGAACTGTCTTGAATATTCCTTAGAATAAGCATTCATTCATTCATTCATTCATTCAGTCATTCATTCATTCATAAAAATAAATAAATACAAACATACATAAGAACACAATCATGATGTTCATGTGTGTTTTGTGTAGGATTGTGCAGTTTTACAGATTGTGACTGGCTAACCTCATATAATGTGAAGTTTGTATCAAATATGCAAGACAAGAATGCAAAAATTCATTATTTTGGAAAAAAAAAAAAAAACGTTAAAAAAGAAAGAGAAATAGAATTTCAAGGTCATTAAGAAATATTTACACATCATGGTACACCTTCTTAGTTTTCTCAATTAGCAAGTGTGAAAAACAAGTTCATTTTTGGAGCCTGGTTGTATTCATGTGTTTTCATGTGAAACAGCTTCACATTTCAAATGAAGGAACCCAATAAAAGAGTTTGATGTATTTCACTCTTTCTGCTTGGGTTTCTTTTGTTAATGAAACCTGATGAAAATGTTTCTCCACTCTGTATATCACAGTCCTGTTTGCTCTGCGTAAAATACAATCCTGGGGACGTTTATATGGAGGCCCAGTAGAAGTGAAGATCAGGGATCATGAGAGGCTCCACGCTCATCCATCTCTTTCTGTCTCTCTTTGTAGAATCCCAGTGCCCTCTGTGTGATTGCCAAGGTATCTCCACGACTGCGGATCCTGGCAGTGTGGCACTGGAACTCTGCCATTTAACGGAATTAAAAGGGGATTTAGGGAGATGCGTCTGTGTTTGGGGGGGATTGGTGGCCAGCAGAACTGGGAGGTATGGAGGCGGGGCTTTGCGGTCGCCACACAGTGCACCAGAGTGTTACGTAACGTGTTTACTAACACACTAGCCAGGAGGCAATTAAGTCCCATAGTTCATCCCGACCTGTTCTGATTGATAGCTACTCTCGATTGGTTCCCGAGCGTCTGATTGTTGCTGGGTTAATGAGACGGCCCTATCCGCCCGGCTCCAGAGGACGCAGCCTTTTCAGAGCTGTTGGTCTTGTGTGTGTGAGTTATTAGATGCCATATTGGGCTAAGCTTATTTGGATAATCAGAGAGGCCCTTTCCTCTCTCTCTCATTAGTTCACTCTCTCTCTCTCAGTAATTGTTGGCTGTGTTGTGCTGTGCTCTGCAGTGCATTATGTAAATGCATAAACCCTCTGGTGCAATGGTTGCACAGTGCCAGCTAGTGTATGACAGTATCGGCCGGGGCATCGACCGGCTTGGGATGGGGGTGGGGTGGTGTCACGGTCAAGGTGTGTGGAGGCAGGCAGGATGATCAGGGGCCCTTCCTGGGCTGGACTGGGGATCAGGAGCCCTTCCTGGGCTTGACTGGGGATCAGGAGCCCTTCCTGGGCTTGACTGGGGATCAGGAGCCCTTCCTGGGCTTGACTGGGGATCAGGAGCCCTTCCTGGGCTAAACTGGGGCTCAGGAGCCCTTCCTGGGCTGAACGAGACATCCGGAGCCCTTCCTGGGCTGGACTGGGGATCCAGCGGTCTCTCCTCCTCATTTTGGCCCTGAATTCCCTCCATAGTCCCTCCGAGCCGATCCTCTTCTTAGCCGCCGGGCTTCGCATGTTTGCATATTATGGACACCAACATAACATTTTCATTAAAATAAAAAATTCCTTTAAATAAATTATGACAAAGTTAGCAACGTGCACATGGTGTTTGGATTCCACATGTAAAAATTATTAAAAAAAAATATTTTTTTAATATTTAAAAATATTCACATAACTTTGTCTAAATATTGTGTAGTTTCCCATTAATTTATTACTTTTAATTATAATGGGAATAAAAAAAAAAACATAAATAAAAAAAATGTATATAAATAAAAAACTCTTTCTTCATTAAAACATCAGTTTGTGGATCATTATATTTTGGACATGACTTTTTGCAGATTTATTTAATATTTATATAATATATTTTTATTCTGCTGTATTGTAATGTATTTAGGGACTTTAGCATGAATTTTAGTAGTTTAATTTGCTGTTAATTTATTACTCTTAATAATCTGAATTGAAAATATAGATGACTTTCGTAATTAAAACGTCACTTTGTTCATCAAGAATTTTTTGACGGCTTTAATATTTTTTTAACATTTAAAATATAAATAGTTTTAAATATTTAAGTAACTTTTAATAACTTGAATATTAATGTTTCCCTAATAATACATTTTATGAATAGATTTAATACATTATTTCATTAAAAGATTACTTTGTGGATCATCATGGTGTTTGGATTCCACACATAAAAATTATTAACAAATATTTTTTAATATTTAAATTTTGTGTAGTTTCCCATTAAAAAGTAACAACGTATTTTGTTACTTTTTAAGTCAATAAAGGACAATACAGTGTAAATACAATGCACAACATTACAATAGTCAGTGATCAACACTAACATGATTGTCAGGTAACAATGCGGGAAGACTGACATATGAACTTGTTGTTAGACCGCATTAAATGGTTCGACAAGCCAAGTTTTCTCTCCTGTGTTGACATATTTCCTACTTAGACAGGAAGTTTGGGTGAACATATGAAAGGGCTTATCTTTTTTTAGTTGGTTTTATTGGCAAACAATTATTGTTTTGCAGTGAGTGTAAGCTTTTTCTGTGCTGAAATTGTTCAGTTTAATTCATTAAATTACTATGTCATTGAATCGATCAGCAGGCAGTTATAGCTTCCACAGAGCTGACCCTGATTAAGAAGAGCAGGAAAGATGTTTCTCCGTGACCCCGTGTAACACCTGCCTCAGGTCTGTCACACTCACTGTTCTTCCGCATCAGAACATCCCTCTTCATGCCTCGGCCTCAGGAGAACAGGATACACTGCGGGGCCTCGCTCTGGCTCCGGCTGGACCATGTGGACAGAGTGTGTGTTTTGTGTGTGAACGTGGGCATGTATTAATGTAGTAGTGGGAATAGGACATTTGCTCAGCACGCCACGGCCTCCAACCTGGCAGGACAGCTCTGTGATGCAAGCTGTGTCTCTGCAGTGCTGCTGTCTTTCCTCTCTCTCTTTACCTTCCTCTCTCACTCACTTTTTCCAGGTTGAAAACAGTGGAGATTTTGCATGTATACCGTGGTTGAAATATTAAATATTTACATGGCAGTCAGTGTGCTAGATTGGTTTTAAGTACATAAAAGAGGAGTAAAAACACAAAATAGGTAGTTGACACATAACCTGGCCATAAACATTTATTTTTTTCAGCATAAAGATTTTAGGTTCAAATTTACTAATGCATAAGGAAATGTATTTTTCCCTTTTAAGCTTTGAGTTAGCACTTTTACTCAAATTATAAATTAATTTTGAATGGTGCTGTGGTGGGACAAATTAATCTTTTAAGTACAAATATTACATGTAGTCTCTCAATAAAATATGAGGGAAACGTGCATTTATAATAATTGTAGAATTGGAAAGATTCCATGGTAATATAAAATTCAACAGATGTGTGGTGGTCACAAGTGTTTGTATATTGGTTACATCATAGTAGTTTCATTTGTGGCATTTTTTTTTATTTTTTAGAAATTATTACTTTTATTCAGCAAGGACACATTAAATTGTTCAAAAGTGACAGTAAAGACATTTATAATGTTACAAAAGAAATGCTGCTATTTTTAACTTTCTTTTAATCAAAGAATCCTGAATATCATGGTTCCACAAAAACATTATATTTATTTTGAAATATTATGTTGTTTTCAACATAATAAGAAATGTTTTTTTTATTATCAAATCAGCATATTAGAATGATTTCTAAAGGATCATGTGACATTGAAGAAATTCATTAGAAGAATGGAGTAATGGCTGGATTTCACAAGACTAAATTACACTACATTTGAAAGTATATCAACATAGGAAACAGCTTATTTTTTTTTCTTTTTTCTTTTATTTCACAATATTACTGTTTTTTTCTGTATTTTCGAATGCAGCCTTGGTGAACATATTAGACTTCAAAAACATCTTCATTTGTTAAACCTTTCATTTGTAAAATATTCATTTCCTTGGATTAGCCAATCAGAGGGGAGAGAGAGATGAAAAGAGGCATGGTGCATGTCTGAGACGCGGAATCCACAAAGTAATTTATCACGTTTATGTTCTGAAATGATTACATGTTCTTTTGTGTAAGGAGAGTACAACAGAAAATTCAAAGCTATGTTAAAGTTAAAATAAATGTGCAAAGAAAATGATGGTTTTTGCCCTAGACCAACCAGCAGGTTGTATCACCTGAGCTTGTTTGAAAAATAAAAGGAATGTTTTTGAAAATAATTTATCCTAATTTATTTTTCAGATCAGCTGGGCTAAGAGAGAAGACATTGAGAAGACTCAGAGGTGAAGAGCAGGCAGCGGACATCACAGTGTGAGGACATTGTCTCGGACCACACTTCCTCCAACAAACACTGCGACTGTCACACAGCTGGTTTTAACCAAGCCAGTCATTACGTTTGACCCCACTTTACCGTCTCAGGTGTGGGGAGCCATTTAGTCACGACAGACAGACATTACTGAGATCCTCCCGCCCTTCTCAAGAGAAAACATCACTTTTATATTCACACCTGTTACCAAACCCCAGCAGATTCCTTCATTATACTTTTCGTTTTGTAATCACTGACCAAACCCTCTCTCATGGGAGTAACATAGAGACCAGCCCAGCACAGACACTCTCTGCTCTCTTTCTTTCTCGCATTCACACACTCACACACACTGGTCTGCACCTTGTTCAGGATGCCTTCCTCCTCCAGCATGATTAGCTGGGGAAGGACGCGGCTCTTGTGGTGATTGGAGGGGGGAGCGGCGCGGAGCTGGACCCATGTCGTGGAAGCGGAACTACTTTGCTTCAGGCAGCAGCGGGCTGCAGGGGATGTTTACCCCACGCACCATGACCTCCATCGCTCCAAGCAAAGGCCTGAGCAATGAGCCGGGTCAGAACAGCTGCTTCCTAAACAGCGCACTGCAGGTAAGACTGAAATTTGCTTTATATCTGTATTATGTTTATGGGTTTTTCTTTTACAGATGCTGTTCACACAGGGTCCATGCCAAGTGGCAAACACAAGTAAAAATTGGCTTTGAGAAGTAAACTGAACTGTTGGCCTGTAGCTTTATTATAAACTGCAGCATAATACTAGCAGGGTTCCTTTGGTCATGGAAAACCTGGGTATATCAGGGAAGAAAATTAGGATTTCCAGGCCGTAAATAATTAAAGAAATTAATTTTTTTTTTTTTAAACTATAGACATTTCAGTGAAAAAATATATATTTTTTTAATTATGAAATTATCAAAATATTTTATTGGCTTGATATTGACAATTGTAGATATTTATCAGCTACATGTCTTTTTTTCTAAATAAAAAAGTAGTTAAAAAGTCATGCTCACCAAGGCTGTATTAATTTAATTGAAAATACAGTAAAAACTATTTAAAATAACTTATTATTGTTAACATTATTACTGTTAATATATTTTAAAATGTAATTTATTGACGCTCTTTCAGAAATCATTATAATATGCAGATTTGGTGCTCAAGAAACATTTTCTTTTTTGTTATTAATAGTTTTCAATAGTATGTAATTGTTTTTTGGTTAAACATTTTTACATACTGTTGCTACTGCTACTTTCACATTATTAGTATTATTTATCAATACATGTTATAGTACATTTAAATTCATATTTGGAAAAAATCACAATGTGTCTTTAAACTTTACCAGAGAAAAAAAGAGAGAAACAAATTTATTCTATAGGGCCTTAAAAATGTTATTGTTACATTTTTTTGTTTTGCGTAAGTTGTGTAAGTTTTATGATTTAAATTATTTAGACATCCTTTTTGATTAATAACATTTAATTTAACCATTAAAACAGTCTAGGAAAAAAAAAACGGAACCCAGAAAAATTCAAATGGAAAAAACAAAACAAAACTGAATTTGGGAAAAAAAATTCAAACGGATTTCATAGAGGACCCTACTGATAAAAAACATGTACATTTTCTCAGTTCACTCAGTTTTGGTAGTTATGGCAAAAGGCTCTTTCTTGGACCTTGTGAACAGCTCAGAACAAATGTGATCGCACACAGAGAAGTTGTTGCGCAGTTGAAGCAGTATTAGTATTCTGGGATGGCTGTAGTGTTCATTCAGAGTGTTATGGATTTCTTTCCGTTTCTCTCTTCCATTCTGTCTTTTTCATGCTGCTGTATCTGATGTCACTGTTGGTCTCTGCCGGTCCCAGTTTAGCAGAGCTTTATCTGGGTCTTCCTTGTAGGCTGTCCTCACTTACACCAATCTGTCTGGCCAAACAGTCTGTCTGCTCATAAATTAAACATCCCTCTCTGTTACCTACCCAGCATAGCCTTGGACGCTTCTCCAAAAGTCATCTGACTTCCATACGGGATACTGAAAACAACATTGGTCTAGTTAGTAGGTCTTTTTGTTCTTATATTACACACATATATATAACACCAGGCAACATTTTTCATCTAATTTAATTTAACTTCATGTACTAAAATAATCAAAACAAAAACTGAAATAAAATGTGTTTATTACACAGTATATATAGATGTATATGTACAAATACTGCACATGCCCAGCTGAGGAAGATACGACAAAAAAAATTAAGTGAGGAAAAAGAGAAAGGGTGAAAAAAAAGTTATCAAATCATAAAATTTTTATTCTCCCCGCTTTAGAGGAATCCTTAATAATCACTTTATAGTCGCTGTAACAGCGCTGGACAGGGATGAGGGAGCAGAATTATGCTGGAGGGTGTTTTTCTTTTTTCCTTTTTGTTCACTCGCAACTTACTTGAAAGAGCTAAATCAAATCACGGATCCAGTGAAGGCAAACTAACTTCTTATCAGACGTTAGACAGAAATTCTATTAGCGAGGCCCCTCTAGATTAGCTCATCATGTGTGAGATACACTAGCATTGCAGCTGATTCTCCAAAGGATCTGATGCATCATGTGTCCTGAGTGTGCTGTTGTAAATGGGTTAACGTGGACCCTCTAGGGCTCTTCATTCAAAAGCCAAGTCCAACACTAGTATGGATCTGTTTGAGATTTTCTGAAATGAGCTCAGCGATGGATGCACTCATTTTCAGACAGATCAGGCCAGCCAGGTGCGTGGGAGCAAAAGGTCCGGGCTTCATCTCACAGTTGAGACTTATTAATAGGTAATGAAAAATAAAAATGGGCTATTATACTAATCCTCTGGTCTGAACACAGTGCTGGAAAGAGGCTTGGCTAAATGGGTTCTGTGTCATGAGGACCAATATGTACTTCATTTTTGTTTTTTTTCCTGAGAATTAAAGGGATAGTTCACACCAAAATTAAAAGTTGTGTCATCATTTATTTATTCGCCCTCTTCTTTTATGTTCAGCAGAAGAAAGAAGCTCATTCAGGTTTGTAACAACTTGAGGGTGAGTAAATAATGACGTAATTTTCATTTTTGGGGGATACTGTCCCTTTAAGTGGAACACAAAAGATGATTTTTTTGAAGAAGATTGGGGTCAGAAATAACATTGGCCCCTACTATAAATATATTTTTTCTTGTGTTATGCCAAAGATAGAGTCAGGTTTGGGGCAACATGAGGGTGAGTTCATTTATGGGTGAACTAGTTCTTTAAGTCTGCTGTATTGGAAGGCAGGTTGCTCCGAGACCTACGAAGCTCTACCTAATATCAGTTTGGAAAGGGTCACGACAGACTCCTCCAGAGATTAGGTGTTTAATTTAAGCTTGGAAGTTGAGTTCTAAATTTCCCCCTTCATGCACATTCTCATCCCACTGCGTCTTACGTAACACGAAAGACTCTTAATTTAGCAAGATGTTTTTTTGCTCTGAAATCTGGAAGAGCTTCAGTTGAGAGCCCAGGGCTTACTTTACAGTTTCCTGAGATAACCTTGCTGAAATAATTAATACACTTTTTAATCATGTACTTATTATGAAGTGTCTAATCATATCTTCTTTTTTTCTCTTCGTGAAGAGTCTAATCATATCTCATTTTAAAATGTCTGCAGAAGTACCTAAACTACTGCAGGGCCATTCTGTGAAGTGGGTGCCTTTTCCTAAAAGTACTTTTCAAGATTTTTTACAGTCTGTCAGACAGATAATGTGTTTAAATGTTATTAAAGTTACATTGTGCCACCTCAAGCTAAATTAATAAATTTATTCAACTGAGATGCATTAAACTGATCAAAGGTAACAGTAAAGACTTGTACATTGTTACACACATTTCAATATCAGATACATGCTGTTCTTTTCAACTATCTATTTATCAAAGAAAATAATAATGTATCACAGTTTCCACAAAAATATTAAACAGCACAACAGTTTTCAACATTGATAATAAGAAATGTTTCTTGGGCAGCAAATCTGCATATTAGAATGATTTCTGAAGGATCATGTGACACTGGAGACTGGAGAAACGGCTGCTAAAAATTCAGCTTTGCAATCACAGAAATAAACTATGGAGAATTATTTTAAATTGTATTCATTTTCATAAATTTATTGTCATTACTGTATGTTATCAAAGAAATGCTGTCTAGGTGAGCATAAGCAATGAAAACATTGAAAAAATGTCTTACTGACCCTAAACTTGAGAAATTTGATGTAGTGTAATTTTGTATTGCTTTCAATGAAGTGAAACTGCTAGTGCTTAATAGAAAGATAAAATTTAATTCTGATATTTCTACAGAAATCATGTAATTTAAAATCATGCTAATATAAAGTTGATAATTAGTAAAAGTTATTAAACTTGAAGAGCTCCTTTCTTAAAAGAACGTTGCTGTTATTATGAGATTTATAAAAAAAACTATTTTATGGAAAAGTCCATTACGTGAAGTCTTTTTAATACAGTATCACTTACATAATAGTGAGAGAATGAAGACAAAATACTACCTTTTATTTTCATATTTTTTTCATTGAAAAATCTGTTTATTTGTTTATACTGAAAGATGCTATAAATGCGAGTGGAGACACGACACGACTGTGTTTTGGCATCAGCTATTCATTTTAGAAATTGCGGTATATCTTGTCAATTCGAAGCACAAATTGCACCTGTTTTGTAAAATCTCCCATCAGAGAGGCTAACAATACAGAAATAATTCCCTCTATATTCATTTAGACAACCTGTTTGTTCGAGTATTAAATGGATAGATGGGGAATCGTAACGAAGCATATGTTTAGCCTAAAAACAGCCTCCAGCTTCACCTGCCCTGTTAGCATACCATGGCATTTTTTCCTTATTCAGCTGCCATTAGTGCTGTTTTACACTGCGCTGTCTGTGTTGCTTGTCTGCCGGAGCACCTGTTCTGAGAGTGTTGTGATTTTTCTCATTAGGACGAGAGCAATAAGCCGCTGTCCACATTAAGCCTTATCAGAGCTCATTTGAATAAACAGCCCGTGTCCTTGACTGAAGCCGGGCCGGGACTGCTGCCGGTAATTATCCCGTTCCACGCCACGCCACGCCACCTTTGTCTCCCCCCTGGCCCGGGTCACGTGGCCTCCCTTCCTTCATTAATTTATTTCCTCTGCCAGCCAACTTTATCAAATCCAGATTTTATGGTGATTGCGGCACTTAAATAGCCATTTTTCAGCTGTCTTCCCTCATACCAGCTGTGAACGCAATCATTACTGATAGAAATACCTTGAGATGAAAAAGAAATAATGGTGAAGAAAGACAGAGAGGAGCTAATGAGGCATGCCAATGTTTCTTTTACGCCTCACAATGGCTCATTTGCATAATCACAATATCTGTTTTATTACGCAAACTGCAGGACAGAGTGGCTTCTTTCTTTCTTTTTTTCTTTCTTTCTTTCTTTCTTTCTTTCTTTTACATTCTTCCTTCATCCTCCCTTCTTTCCTTCTTTACATTCCCACTGTTTTCCTCTTCTCTTAGTTTCCATCCTTCCTTTATTCCTTTATTTTTCTTTTTTTAATGGTGAAGAAAGACAGGAGGGAGCTAATGAGGCATGCCAA